GTCAATTTTATGCTTGGTTGGTATTCATAATCAATAATTTGAATATCTTTTAGAATAATTTTTTTAGTTTCTTTAACCTTGATTTTAATTTTTTTTCCTTCACTTTCTGTACATATGCAATGTTGTTCATTCATTTGAACCCAATTTCTCTCTTTCCCATGGTCATTGATTTTGTTGGATTGAGTTTTTCTTCCTTTTTTTTTTTTTCCTTTTTTATGAGGTTGAAAGTGAGTTTATTCTTGAAAGAAAAATTAGATTTTTATGGGAGTATTGGGTAATGAAGGAGCAGTTGCTAGTTATGTGTATTTTAGATGAATAAAGGAGCTCTTATAGTTTTACATGGTTATTTTTGTTAACTTTCTTGATGAACTGTGATGTGCTCTGGTGTTGACATCTTTTTTGCTACTTTATATTATTTTCAACTTTCTATTGTTGAAGTATCGTCTGTAATACTAGTTTTTATGCCATGAGCTTGTGTGTTTTGTTGGGGGTGGGTGTAGGAGTGGAGTGGTTAGTTTAGTGCTGTTAGTGGAATTGTGGGTGGCTTTACATGGTCTATGAATTGGAGTTATTCTGGAATACTTTGTAATGACCAACCAAATCTCTTCTAGTGGGAGAAGCAGTAACGGTGGTACTCTATTCTGTTCTAGATCAAGCACATCAATAGATATCACTATGACTTGCATAAAATTTACATCCAAAAGGGACCCTTGACAAAGCCTAGGAAATGGTTCCCCCTAAAAGACAAAGCCTGGGACGATATTCTCTATGGCTAGAATATTGGAAATAATTGTGGGGTTGGCAATATTCTCTATATATGTTTTCATTAAACTTGTCTGACTACTCCTAGAGTTCTTAATTCAGGATTACTGACATTGCATTTCATTATTCAATGATTGCTGCACATTGGTAAACAAAAAAATTGATATTCTAATTGGCATTAGCAATAGATTAATTTTCATGTTCTTTTAAATAAAGTTAATATTTTATTTTTAAATCCATTTATAATGATTCATATTTGAGCAGGGAACTTTTCACATTAAAGTCGTATGTACGTAATCTAAGGTACCCAAAAGGCTCCATTGTGGAAGGTTATTTAGCTCAAGAGTGTTTGACATTTTGTTCAAGGTATCTATCGGGGGTTGAGACTAAATTTAATCAACTAATGCGCAATGATGATGATCATGAAAATGGGAGACCACTAGGGAGGAAGGGTAAACAAGGCTTCCAGGTGAAGAAGCGAAAAAGGGTTGCTCGAATTGAGTTAGATGACCAAACACGTACACAAGCACATAGATATGTGCTATTCAATAGTGAAGAAGTTGCTCCATTTCTAAAGTTAGTCTTCGTTCTCTCTTAAATGTATAATTAATTAGTGTATACCATACTAATCCTTTATTGAAATCTGCATATAGGCGTCATAAGGAGGTGATTATGAAACAAAGGCACTCTCGTAGATTGAAAGATCATGAGATCGACAAAATTCATAGTCAAACCTTTAATTTTTGGTTTGAAGAAAAGGTATGTAGTATATAATTTATAATAAATCAATTCATGTTATTACCATTTTTTTCTTAAATTTACTATGTAATGACTAGGTTAATGACTTGTTAAAGAAAGGAAGTGCTGAAATCACAGACCAAATCAAATGGCTTGCTCATGGGCCAAATAATAAGGTTAGAAGATATACTGGTTACATGATTAATGGTTTTAGATTTCACACTAAGGAACGCGAGAGATCATTGAAAACTCAGAATAGCGGTGTTGTTGTGACAGTGAAAGATCAAAGTTATGATAGTGGACAGCTTGTAGAAAAAGAGATAACTATTATGGAGTATTAACTAATATCATTGAATTGAATTACTCCGGTATGTATAAGTTTATTCTTTTTAGATGTGATTGGGTTGATATTAATAGAGGTTGCATGGAAGATAATTTCGGCTTCACTCTTGTAAATTTCTCACATCTTATCCATCAAGGCAACAATTTACTTGATGATCCATTCATTTTAGCATCACAAGCTAGAAAAGTCTACTATGTTGAGGATGAAAGGGATAATGGTTAGCTTATTATCAAACCTGCTAAGTTGAGAGATGTTTTTGATATGGGGGTACAACACAATGATTCATCAATTGGGGACAACAATAAAGATATGACTTGGGTTAAAACTGATGTTAGTGAAGATGAAGATGAAGTTGATGTCATGCCAGAGATGGAAGAAGAGCAAGTGGAAGACGATGAATTGGTTCCAGAAAATTGAATAATAAAACTTTTCACATTATATGAAGAAGTTTTAATTTTTTTTTTTAATCTTTTTTGATGAATTGATAAGTTTATTAATATTGAGATTGAAACTATTTTAAAAAATCTTATTGAGATTAAATGCTTTGTGTTTGTTGAGTTTCTTGTTACTTTACAATGATTTTTGTCCTAAGATGTGCTTGTTGAAATATGAATTTATATAGTTGGTGTTAATTTCAATAAGTTTTAAAGGAAAATTCAATGGTAAAGGAGAATTATAATATATATATATAGACATGGAAGAAAGGAAGAGTTAAGAAATTATGGAGTTAGAATGCCTCATGTATATGACTTTTTTATTCTAGATTTGCTCTTTCAGTCAATATAAAAATTATTGCATTATTTTCTATTATTTGGATAAAAATATAGTGTATGATTTGGAATAATCTAGATATTTTTTTTCTACTTTTTTTTCAATATTTTCTAACTAATTTTTTTCAAAGAGCATCGCTAGAAAAGTTGGGAAATTGATCTTATATATAGGGAAAAAAATAGTTGAAAGCATTCATTACTTTTTTTTTCTAACAAATAACACAAGTTGAAATTCATTCAAAAAGTTAGATGTGGTTATAATAAATCTTATGCATTGTAGAAAAGATTACCTTTTATAAATTCTTCTTATTGCATGGTGCGGACACCACGAATAATGTGTCTGACACCATAGCCGTGTCGAATTTCCACCCCATTTTGCAATTCCTTCAATGGGAAAATAGCAGATTTGGTCCCTCAGCTTTTATATCTCATAACTTAAAATTCATTTATTTAGATCCCAAAAGGAACTATTGTTCTGGTAATTTAGTCCCTTAACTTTAAAAAATATTTAATTAATCACAAAACTCTATTTATTATGCATTGAAATCCTTTTCTACGTAGAGAATGAAAACTTTTTACATTTTTTATTAATGATCATTTTTAGTTATATAAAGATTTTTTTTATCTTTTTGATGAATTGATATGTTTATTAATAAGGTTATTGATCTTTTTTCTTTTATTTGGGAAAAAATGTAGTATATGATTTCAAGTACTTCATATATTTTTTATACTTTTTTTTTTCAATTTCGAACTAAGTTTTTTTTTTTTCCTAGCACATTGTTAAAAAAGGAAAAATTGATCTTATGTACATGGAAATAGTAGTCAAAAGCATTAATTAAATAGTAATTAATTTATTATTAATTTATGGTAGTAAGGGTATACTTATAATTGTAAAAATCATAGGTATAAGTTAGTGTTATACTCATAATTATATGTGATTGAAGGTATATCTATTGTGTATACTTACGGTTTTTTATATCTATAAGTAAATCTTAAATTCATATACCCACGAATTACATATTGTAACTAATAGTTTTTTTATATACCTACACCAATTGTATTTGCGTAGGTATAGTATAATTTTTCCTACAGTTATTTTATGGATGTAGCTATAACTTATCTATATATCCACAAATTACATACTGTAACTAATAGTTCTTCTATATACCTACACCAATTGAAATTGCGTAGGTATAATGTAATTTTTCCTATGGGTTTTTTGTCGATATAGCTATAACTTATCCATATACCCACAAATTATAAATCATAACTAATAGAACTCTATACCTATAAAATAGTGAGCGTAGGTAAAAAAAAGCGTAACTAAATGGCAAAAATGCTGTAGTGATGGCTAATGCTGCTGCTGTGACTGCTAATGCTGCTGCTCACGAGCTTGCACGAAGAGCACTTACTGCTGAGGCTAATGAGTTTTGGGTGGATGACATACCATTTCCCATTGAGCATATTGTAACAGGAGATCAATCCCATATCTGAATATGTACTTACTTCTTGTTCTTACAATCTTAATAAAGCTTGCATCTGGCTTTCCAATAAAAAAAATAAATAAATAATAAAAATTAATATTTTAATAAGCAACCCAGCACAGCAGCAATGCTCTCTTCCTTCAATGGTTAAAATTTGGTTAAATATCTTTTTTGGTTCCTCTACTTTGAAAAAAACCCCTTTTTAGTCTCTATATTGAAAAAATCTCCTTTTTAATTCCTAAAGTTTGAAATCCAACTCCTTTTTAATCCTTCTATTAAGTTTTGGCTTATGTGGCATGTTAATTAATGGAATTGTCTATTAATTTTCTTTGTATAAATGACATGGAAAATATAAAAGTAAAAAATGATGATATGGCATCCCATGTAAACATTGAACATAACATGTAATTTATAAAAACCTAAAATTTCAAAATTAACCTTAACCCTCCTTGCTTATCATTCAACCCTTTTCCCATACAGACATCCCAAATCAAGAAAACACAAATACCTAGATCAACAATTTCACATAATCAAAGATCTAAACAGAAAAATGATAGCAACACAAACTTTGGTTTCACGAGGAACCCAACGCCACACTTGGGTTGCACAAGGAACCTAGCGCCATGTGTTGTACCTATGATTTTGATGATTACAAAACACATTTAAGTGACTAATTTATTCATTTAAATTATAGTTAAACTTCTAAAAGATTGCAAAAGTAAGTGAACTTGGACTGCACTAAAAAAGATCAAAAAGGTTGCAAAATGTGCAGAGAGTTGGCTCTAGAAATCTATAGCCAGCTCTGGTGAAGGCAAGTGTAGAGAGCCAGCTCTAAAAGCTGCAGTCAACTCTACTGGTGAAAATTTTAACTCTGAAGTTTGGTGTGTGTGAAAAACGGATGCAAAGTTGGCTTTAACTTTGCAGCCATTAGCCAACTTTGCAGCCAGCTGTGATAGCGCATTTAATGCATAACGGTTGAATTATTTGGAGATTATTTAATGTTTTTAAAGTCGAAATCCCAAACTCGACTTTATATTTTGCAGCTGACTGTGCAAGAAAATAAAATGTGTGGGAAACCCGTAAAACCGACTATAGAATTCTAAGTCGGCTGTATAGAGTCAGCTCTAGACTTTAAGCCAGCTGTACTGACAAATCTGCAACTTCGAATTATGCAATTTGCAAAGTATTTAATGACCCCCAACGACTAGAAACGACTTTTTTGACCAAGGGACTATAAATATAGTTGGTATCAGATCTAGAAGAAGTTTTAAAAGTATTGTATTAGATATCTTTATCTACCAACTTGTGTTTTAACTTGAGTTTTTGATCTTTTCTTGTAATCCTCTTGTTGTTCTATTTGTGAGTTATCTTGAGGATATGATTATTCCTTCAAGAGTGATTTATAGAGAGGATTCTTGGGATTTATCTTATAAAGGGGTAAGATTTGAGAGAAATACTTTTTTTTTCTTGTAAAATGATTAAGTAGCTCCTTTAAGCCACCGTTGTTTTTTTTAGTGCAGAGTGTAGAAGAAATTCTTGGTAAATAAAGTCAAAGTAGAAGACTAAATTCTAAGTGGTTGGATCAAATCTTTATAAAATTATTGTGCATTTCCTATTCCCTTTTTAATTTTTATTTGATGATTGCAAAAAAGTGAAAATTTTCAACTTTAATTCAACCCCTTGTTGGAGTGCATTGAGCCAATACCGTGCTTGGATTCGCGACAAACCCAGAGCCTGGGGTTAACCAACCACAACATTATACACTAACACTATCGCAAAAGATATGATAATGAATTCATTTGTTTGCTCATGCACATCAAAAGTCCCTTCAGAAAAATTCAAATGCTCTCCTAAATACTCAAAGCCTTCAAGTAGTTATGGAGATACATTTCTAGCTGAATTCTAGTCTGATTTTTTGTCTACCATACCCTTTCGAAGATCTGGTTCAAGGACTTGTGGATGGGTTCGTCGCAAACCCAACGCCTGGGTTGCTCCTAGGTTCGCGACGAACCTAGGTTTGATTTGGGTCACGAACCCAGATCTGGATTCTAAGAACCTACCCTACCAACCACATGGTTCTTAGATAAAGGACCAT